ACACACACATGGACATCAATTTGAGAACAGTAATTAATTCAGGGGTCGGGCTGACAGGCGGTGTTATTCAACGTGCGCAGAACTCACGCGGGGAAACAAAAAGGACCCATCTACAAGACCCCGAGTGGGGGGAGTTTTTTCCGCGCGCACCATCACAACAGCATAACCCGTGCTGCGGAAAGTACCTGCAGCAGGCTGGGTCGTGCGCCCCCCGTGAATATGTGTTGCTTTTGTTTTGGTACACACACCCGAAATGTTGTTGATGCGATGTTGTTGATGCGAATCGTTGTTATCAGCACTACGTACGCGTTAATAAATGGAGAAAAAAAAAAAAAAAATGCCCCACCACTCAGAACACAGCAGCAGCAGAATATTTGAACTAGCACGCGAGTTGTCGCCNCATGGACATCAATTTGAAAACAGTAATTAGTTCAGGGGTCGGGCTGACAGGCGGTGTTATTCAACGTGCGCAGAACCCAGGCGGGGAAACAAAAGGACCCATCTACTAGACCCCGAGTGGGGGGAGTTTTTTCCGCGCGCACCATCACAACAGCATAACCCGTGCTGCGGAAAGTACCTGCAGTAGGCTGGGTCGTGCGCCCCCCGTGAATATGTGTTGCTTTTGTTTTGGTACACACACCCGAAATGTTGTTGATGCGATGTTGTTGATGCGAATCGTTGTTGTCCGCACTCCGTATGCGTTATTAATGCATGAAGTAGAAAAAAATGCCCCACCACTCAGAACACAGCAGCAGCAGAATATTTGAACTAGCACGCGAGTTGTCGCCGATCGCGAGCCCCTCCTCACTACGCCCTGTCGTGGTCNNNNGAAGTAGAAAAAAATGCCCCACCACTCAGAACACAGCAGCAGCAGAATATTTGAACTAGCACGCGAGTTGTCGCCGATCGCGAGCCCCTCCTCACAACGCCCTGTCGTGGTCTGCAAACCACACGCGAACACCCTCTGTGATATGCAGATAGTGAAAGCCGCGAGCTGTAGAGGAGGAGATGCGTGGTAGCTGGTCTGAACACGTGCCAAAGTTGGCCAATCGGTGTGGACGAGGTCAAAAAAAGAACACAGCAGCAGCAGAACCACACCGACCGACATACACGTCGCAGCAGAACCAAACCGACACACGTGTCCCAAATGACAGTTGAAGGACGCCGCAAAGAGAGAGCAAAGAGAGGACAAACCGGGTGTGCACGAGTGACTTAGGGGTTGGTGCAAGGAAACAACGAGGCGAGAAGTGCTCAACTATTAGGAATAGGCTTGGACACTCGTTTTTTTTGCAGAACGTCGCCAATTGACGCAGTTATCGATGAAACGGATTGTGAATAGAGTACATATCGGCACCGAACGCAGCGACGCGGGCACGAAATGAGAAACGCTTGGGTGCGGAATGANCCGCACCGAAAACGATCCTCAAACGGCTTGTTTATCGGTGCAAGGGTGGTGCGAACACACACACGGACATCAATTTGAGAATAATAGTAATTAATTCAGGAGTCGGGCTGACAGGCGGTGTTATTGAACGTGCGCAGAACCCAGGCGGGGAAATAAAAAGGACCCATCTAAAACAGTTTATTTGAGGACACAGGCTTCCCTCGTTGGGGGGGAGGACCAGGTCGCAGTAGTCTTTTCCCACTACTAAGGGCTGGCAGTTCTCTTCGTCGAGATTTAGAGAGGAGAGGGTCTCAGAAGGGAGAGACAAGAGAGAGAGTGCCGCCGAAGGGGCGAGGAAGACCAAGCCCGAGGGTCTCGGATTCCCAAGCTCAACAGGTGGCGCCAAGAGGGACGCATCCACAACTGCAGTCGGGTCTCTTGCTGATCAACCATCAGTAAGATCCTCCGTTCGGATCGTATCTTGGTCCTACTTTTGTATGTGCAACAACAATGGTTTCAGCACTTCTACACCTGTCATCCACATCACCCCCCCCTTTATGCGCCACAAATTCATCTTTGCTGAGTGAGGATGGATTTTGGCGTTTCTAGAGGCCTTGGACGATATAAATGGAAGCAGGTGTTGGAAGTTTTGTCATACTGTGTTGCAACATCTTCAACCGTGTCTGAGTCATATTTTCCGTGTTGAGAAAACACGAGTTCGTCAAGCTCAGTTGAAGATGTGGTCCATAGCAAAAGTACAGAAATAAACTAAAAATAAAAGATGCTCTATCTCCTGCATGATTCTGACAGAAAATAATTTCTTCCGTTCAGATATATATTCTAGGGTGGCCATACATACCCAGATTGTGTTCACGCAGTTGAATAACAAACATGGTTTCAACTACAAAACAGTTTGAAACTGATAGCTTAATATACCATGCCTGGGAAAAANAAACTAAAAATAAAAGATGCTCTATCTCCTGCATGATTCTGACAGAAAATAATTTCTTCCGTTCAGATATATATTCTAGGGTGGCCATACATACCCAGATTGTGTTCACGCAGTTGAATAACAAACATGGTTTCAACTACAAAACAGTTTGAAACTGATAGCTTAATATACCATGCCTGGGAAAAAAAAACTTTTTGGCTACAAAACAGTTTACCGATGTGTCACGGAAACTGGTAACTCCTTTTAACAACATATTCGCCTGATTGAGAGCGTAGCATCTGATTGAGAGCGAGATTGCGCGATACGCTGTAGCCGGACTACCACTGAGAGGTGGAGCTTGCTGTGTAGCTTGAATTGAAGGGCTAGCCCGTAGCTTCAAGCCGCTACCCTGGTCATCCTGTGGGAGTCTCTCGTTGTGGAGCTACAGCGGGGAGCAGAAGCTACAGCAGAGCCCACCGCCCGACGCGATACCGCCCTGAAACAGTTTGAGCAGAAATAGCCAATCTGGGCAAATCTAGCAACTTGTCTAGCTCCTCGCTGCAGCATCCGATGACGATGACACGCATATGCTCGCGAAGCTGCTGATGAGACCTTCAATTTGCACCGCTTCTTGGAATAGCCCGTCCCCTACTTGCCAAGAAATGGCAAGAGGCGTCTGGACCCGAAATTTCAATTTTTTTGGCTCTCGCTCTCAATCAGATACTTCGCTCTCAATCAGGCGAATATGTTGTTTTTTACTCATGCACTGTTCGTCATAGCACGCGTGGATCAGGCGCTTGCTGGATGATAGTGCGAAAAAAAAACAGAATGTCGCAAAATGACAAACAATCACGGAAAACTGGTCGCGTGGCCAACCGTGTTAATATCTTGATTCCGTCATTTTTTTTTTTACTTGAATGCATCTTCGTCGAAAACTCACCCAAGACATAGCCGAGAACCAAGGAGTGGACACAACGTAAATAGTAAATAGGGGCCGGTGAAATCGATCTGTCGTTTGCTTGTTGAAACCGTAAAACGTATCCACACGTCGCGTGGTTTCCGTTGGTTTCTTGAACAAAGCTGACAGCTGACAGTAACAATGAGTCATAAGACTCTCTCCTCGCCAGTGTTTTCCCAAGAACACTGACAAAAAAAAACAGGGTGTACCAAAAAATGTACAAAAACCCCTTTCACCGTCACTATCTCCATGTCCCGAGGGTATGGAAAAAAATAGTGTTAATGTGTCATTACTATCTCCATGTCACAAGGATGGATATGGAAAAGATAGTGTTAAAGTTTCAATTCTATCTCCATGTCAC